CGGACCAGCCCCCCGTGTGCTCAGCCCCCACATCCCGTGTGCTCAGGGCCCCGATCCCCACGGACCAGCCCCCCGTGTGCTCAGCCCCCACATCCCGTGTGCTCAGGGCCCCGATCCCCACGGACCAGCCCCCGACCAAGCGTACCTGGACGGTGCAGATGCTGAGGGGCGACGCCCCGCTGGCCCCCGGCTCCCAGCCCACCTCCAGGGTGTTCTCGCCACGCGTCACCAGCACCAGGCCCCTCGGCCGCTGGGGGACCACTGCGGGCAGGGAAATGGGGGAGGGCTCAGGGGCTGCCCCAGCCTGCGCCCCCCGTCACCCCATATCCGTGCTCCAGGGCGTACCGGCTGGACAGGGGGGTGCTATCCCGAGGGACCCTCTGTGGGCTCAGGGGGGAGTTGGGGCAGGGGCTTGCCCCCCCCAAGCAACCTGGAGTGCGGCCTCCCCCAGTGCAGTAGGGAGCCCAGCAGCCGCCAATCAGCCGCGGGCTCCCGGGGCCCGATCCACAGCGCGGGGCAGGGCCCGGCCCCCTCACCTGTCACGGCCGCGGTCCGGGAGGTGGCCACACCCTTGGCATTGTGGGCTTCACAGGAGAACGAGGCGCTTCTGTTCAGACCTGGAAGGGGCAAGGCAGGGGGAGGGGATGAGAGCATGGGGCAAGGGGACCAGGCTACCCCCCCAGTGCCCCTCACCCCCAACCCACAGTCCCCCGCCCCCTGGTGCCCCTCACCCCAACCCGCAGCCCCCCGCCACCCCGGTGCCCCTCACCCCCACCCTGCAGCCCCCCGGTGCCCCTCACCCCCGACCCACAGCCCCCGGGTGTCCCTCACCCCCGACCCGCAGCCCCCCCAGCTGACCCCTGCCCCACTCTCCGGGCCCAGCCCCTTCCCCCTTTCCTGGCCGGGTCTGGCCGGGCGAGGGGGCGTCAGTGCCAGGCGTTCCCATCCCTCCCCGTTCCCAGCGCCGGCTCCTGCAGCCGCCTCCCGTCCCCCAAGGTCATGGCGCCTCCAGCTTATCAGGGCGTCCCCCGCAGGGACCAGGCGCGGGGGGTGCTGGGTCTTCAGCCAAGGCCACAGTGCTCTGGAGGCCGGGACGGGCCACTGGCAGGGAGTGGCTGTGGTGCAAATTCCCAGTCCCCCCCCCAATCCCTGCTCCTCTGCCTAGCCTGGGGCACGGTGCAGGGATGGGAGGGGGTCCCAGGCAGGGGGCAGGACGGGGGGCAGGGCAGCAAGGCGTGTGTCTGTCCACGCTGTGCCCCAGGAACTCAGCCGGCGGCTGCCCGGGGCGTCAGAGCGAGCGGAACCAGCTTCCCGCAGGCCCCAGCCTGGCAGTGCCCCCCTCCTCCCACGGCACATCTGGGGCCCAGGCTCCCGCCCAGCCGGCCTGGCCAGGCTGGTATGTCAGTCCCCAGCTCCCGCCATGTGGTGGCATTTCCGGGTCTGGCTCCCCGGCCGCAGCCCCACGGCAGGAACCTCAGACAGGGCTGGGGGCTGGACTGAGGGGGGTGGGCAGCCAGGACTCCTGGGTTCCACCCCCAGCTTGGGGAGGGGAGTGGGGTCTGGAGGTTAGAGCAGGGGGGGGAGGCTGGGAGCCAGGACTCCTGGGTTCTCTCCTGCCTCATAAGGGGGTACAGCTCAGGAGAGATGCAGCCAATGGAAGGCCTGAGGTGAAGGCCTGACACCTGGGTGAGGGGCTGTGCTGACGCCCCCGCCCCCAGCACTCCTGCGGCAGCCTGGATCCCAGCCCAGAACCAGCGGCCGGGCTGCGGCTGGCAGGGCGGGGGGAGCTGGGCAGCAGCCCCAGAACCACTGCCCAGGGGTGGCGGGGAAACATGCCAGCCCTGCCATAGCCCCCCATGTCCTGCATGCACCCCCAGCCCCCTAGAACTGCACCCCCTGCCCACACCCCTGTTCCCCTGCCCCTCCATTCCCAGTCCCCCCTGCGCGCTCCATGCACCCTCAGCCCCCTAGAACTGCACCCCCTGCCCACACCCCTGTTCCCCTGCCCCTCCATTCCCAGCCCCCCCTGCGCTCCATGCACCCCCAGCCCCCTAGAACTGCACCCCCTGCCCACACCCCTGTTCCCCTGCCCCTCCATTCCCAGCCCCCCCCTGCGCGCTCCATGCACCCCCTGCCCACACCCCTGTTCCCCTGCCCCTCCATTCCCAGCCCCCCCCTGCGCGCTCCATGCACCCCCTGCCCACACCCCTGTTCCCCTGCCCCTCCA